CATGGGCGTTTTCGTGGTTTTCCCCATGTGTAACGTGTATACGAGCCAGTTTCCCTTAGAAAGTCCGCCACGAAGGCATCCCTCCCCCTTAGGCAGATAGCCCTAGTGTGCTTTGCCATAATTAAATACACCTTAAATAGGAAAGTTGTCGTAGTCATTGAAATACTCTCGTATTCTTCTCTTTTCCCCGACAATTCTAGAGAGTCGAGGAAAAAAGAAGAGAATACGATGACCAAAATATAAAGAAAAGGATAAAATAAAACAAAATTCTACCGAGAATTTTCGTCTAAAGTTTTCACAGTACAGTTTCTTAAACTTATACTATCGAACTCTTTGAAAAACTAATCTAAAGGACAATTGCTTTAACTTGAGGTCTGTATACTTTTAAGGTAGATGAAACTCGATCAGATAATTTTACAATATATACAATGTTCACTATACAATGTTCACACTCAACTCTCGAAATGTCAAGCGATTATCCCATCGTGAAAATTCAGTCTCAACAACAACAAAGAAAAAATTTACAGTACATCATAAAAATTAAAATTGCAAAGTGTAAAATGCAAATAAAATCTAGTTTAAAACTCGTCTACAAATTGGGAAAATACAACGGTTAATTTAACCGAAAAATTTATATTTAGATAAATGTTATAAGGTAACCTATTTGCCACATGATTAATGTCCAAATATATATATATATATATATATATATGTTGTATGAACTTAAATCCATTTAGTGCGAATACAAGTTATTTATATATATAACAGAATCAAAATCTTTTTATATAAAAACTAAATTATCCCAATACTATTTCCGCCCAATATGCAGCTGAAAAATTAAATTTAATCTACTTAAATTATTATTATCTATTTTAATCTCTTAGTATTATCTTATTTTTCTCTATTTAATTATTATTAGCTTATTATTATTATTACTCTATTTGATTATTATTATACCTCTTATTATTACCTATTTATTTTATCGTGTTATCTATTTAAATCTCTTATTATTATCTATCTATTTGAATTATAATTATCTATTTAAATCTCTTATTTCTTTATAAATGATAAATATCACATATAAAGAAATAAGAGATTTGAAACCAAATCCACAAAGGCATGAAAGGAATGAAATTCAAAACCAGCAAAAACCAAACAACAACAAGAAAAAAAAATAAATATGTAAAAACTCAACTGATAGTTACGAAACCAGAAGAACTACAGATATAAAAAATATAAAAATTACAAAAAATAGTAATTTATGTAGGGAGAGGAATGCAATCCAAATCTGATTCAACTTATCAAAAGGAGGTAGATCAAATTCAAGCGAACCCCTTTCCCTTAGAACACCACTGAGTTTCTGTTAATCTAAAATCAGCTGATGAACCATTCTAAATTATTTAATTACAATAGTTCACCCAAAAATTCTGGATTCCTTCTCGACGTGCAATTCGTTAAAGAAACGTACAAAAACACATCCATACGTAAAAATTTCAATGTCAAATAAAGTAAAAGAAATTATTAGACACATTTTACGGAATTTAAGATTGAAATAAAAATGTAGTAGTACAAAATTATATATATATTATAGTGAAGAGCTCTTTTAACGATGCACTGTAACCTTTTTATAAGTATTTAGGTTTAAAACAATTCATTTTAATTTTGCTGAAGTTTAATAATGAATTTAATTTACAGGATAATTTTTTAATTATGTTTATTCAAATTTGTTTAAAGCTATCAGTACTTCATGATAGCCATAAAATGTACGCAAGCATATAAAACTATTAAAACATTCATAAATTGATATGGGACACGCATATCAACTTAAATTTGAATAATTTGAAAAATTCATATTCTGTTTAGCACTGATTTCAAACGGAAAGACTCGGCGTTTTTGAGAGGAATAATCTGGATTCTTCACAGGCAAATTATACTACTCGCAAATTTCAAATTATATTACTAGATGAATAACAGTCCAGTTTACATATGGCCGAATAACATTTAAGTGCCTCATTATTAAGTATACAAAGAGGAAGCTTGAATTAAATGTTTGGTTTAATTGACAGACCTTTATGAAATTATGTTTTAAATGCAATAGCTGTTTGGAGCAAATTTATTGCCCCATTCCGAAAAGTGACGAAGTTATTTTATATGAGCGAATAACTTTTCCTTTCTGTGATTCTGGAATTCAAATACTCTCTTCTTAAAAGCTGTAACTTCAAAGATGGACCGTTTAAATACTTTCACAATTTACGTTTATTTGAAGCAGAACTTACTTAATTAGGGGTAAAACTTAATTAACTTATTTAGTTTAACTAACTTGCTTAGCGGTAACAACGCTGAACTCTGGTAGTTCGACGCGGGTTTGGATTTTGGCGAACGGGCAGGCTGCATGGAAGCTTTTGGTAGTTATTCCCATATGTAACATGGATACGAGCCAGTTTTATTTAGAAAATTCGCCACGAAGGCATCCTCATCTTACGCAGAGAGCTTTGCCACAATCAAATATACCGTACTATACCATTTCTTTACTTTGAATCTTTACTATTTGGGTCTTTTTTGTTCCTTCTAATCAGCCAAAACTAAGAAACTAGTTTTTTTTTGTTAACGTATTCTCTCGCTAGTTTATTAACGGATTCATTGATCTAAATACAGCAGAAATGGAAATTTTGCTGTCATTTTGAATCAACTTCAGCTATTTACCTATAGATTATTATTTTATGTAAATAAAGAAATGTCTTATATAGATTATGAAAACCATATTTTCTTTGGCCTATTTAATTGCTTATAAGACATCTTCATTGAAATAAAACTGCAAAATTTTTCAGATTCTACTTTGACCATGACTTGAACACAGTACTTAAGAGATTATATTTTATTATTAATTAAAACGTTAATTCAGTCTGTAACTTTGATATTCTCTTCCGTCCTTTTTCGTTTTAACCGCACTAGATTGTATTTTTTTTACATTCCATATATTTGATTTTGTAACTAACTGTAAATAATCTGGCTTTAACCACAATACAAGCTCTGCAGCTACAATATGAAATGAAAGAACGATAAATACTCGGATGATATACGGGAAATTAGTATATACAGGATAAATTCAAATCTTGACATGAATTTAAAGAATTATTATAATTTAGTTAAAGCTGGCGATACAGTTGTGTACCCTCGCAAGTTTCTTACGATTAGCAATTTAAATAACTTCTGTATAATAGTTCCTGCTATATACTCACTGGCAATGTCTCGTGAATAATTATTTTGCAACACATAAAAGAAGCTAAAAAGTACTTCCAGATAATTTTAAAATTTAAAGGTTTCGAATATACATTATATGACAATATAAACTATACAAACCCTCGCTTCAGAAGACAGAACAATTTATTTCTGCGACATAAACAATGATAAATAAAATCTTGGTTAAATTTTCCCAGTTTCAAGTTTTCCTGCTTCAGATAATGTTCCCTGAAGTAAAGGATGAAATGCAATTCATAAGAATGCCTATAACAGTTCAGATATTATTTATAGCCTCAGAGTTTTTAAAGAATAAGAAATCCATTACCTGATTCAAGGTTAAGTACTGAGAATCCTTTTACTGATCACTCAATATTTTAAAAAAGTGTCTCTCGTCTCTTAAACATCACTTTATTTCCAGATGAAAAATGAAATAGTGTCAAATTCGAGAATTATAGAAGAAAGAGCGTAGTTCAGAAAATATAAGAAGAATATAAAATAAAATTCTTCAGAAAAAAACAGCGATGCCGCCAGTCTTTTAAATTGTAATACTTTTCATTCACTAAAATGGGCTGAATATGAATTATACTCACGTCACAGTGATTAAAGATTTCCTTCAAACTACCATTACTAACTTGCAGAAACAGGCCCGAAAGCTACAGTTGCATGAAATAATCAGATTCATTTAGAATAAAAATTGATAGTTAGCTTAACTTCGAATTATTTCAGTTATGTATTTATTCACACTAATAAATGAAATGAGCTGCGTGCTTCAAATTTTTGTATTAAGATAAAAAATGCATATTGTATCATTGTCTAATTGATTGAAATATATAGTAAAATGCAGCTAAAGTTAACTAACATAATACCTACCAGATAGTAACCATTCCATTATTTTACTTTCCCAAAAAATTAAAAATATATTTCAACAAGAAGAGTAATTGACAAAGAAGAGAAATTTTCCAAAGTAACACATACAATTAGGCAAAGCAATAAACTTGTGTTTGGCGCAGGATTTAACTAAAACACCGTATAGATTTCGAGGGCAAATACTCACAGGTCTCTCTTCTGCAGAAACAAAATAATTCCGCAGAATTTCTTTGACGAGAACAAGACTGTTGGTTTGCCTAATTGTAAGAGTAATAGGTTTGTTACAGAAGTTATAATAAAGCATATTCAAATTGCAACCAAACCTTCATCTGCGGTTAACACTGCATGTAAAAAGTTGTGTTTTCTATTATACTGCACTATTGTTCATGCTTATTTGACATTAACTTTCCGATACAGATTTATTCAAATCGCTGTTTTCATATTCAGCAAGTAATTAGAACAATAATAAAAAAAATGAACTGTAAGACTCATTTTAAAGAAATTTGCAAAATACATATTATTTGAAATCTCTACTTATTTCATTTCGTTGCTATTTCAAGATAATTACTTTATGTGAATAATTATGCGACTGTGTTCAAAATAAGTATTTTGCTTTAAAACTGTGTTCTGTTTTTAACGGATTTCGTTGTTCTGTTCTGTTAGATTACATACTACATTGATAAAATATAAAAATCACAATTAAAGCAAGACGAAACTATATTCAAAGTTTATTCACCAATTAATTAAACATTCAACTTACTAATATTGTTGAATATAAATTTAACCTCATTTAAATGACCTAAGTATTTTAGTTTTCTGAATAATAATTAAAAAGCCAAGAATGATATGAGTTAATTAACAAATATTTGAGAGAGATAATAAGCCACACTCACTTTACGACGTTTCTTTTCCAAACAATTTATCGCGGTGACACTGAATATATTGTTTCCACTAGGACTGTCCAAACAATACACAATCCTTGCATGTTAAGGGAACATAGTGAATTAAAGTCGCAACAAATGGGTTGCAGCAATTACTACTCAAGCTCTAAATTCAAGCTTTGCAAAAGAAGAAACTCCAAGAAGGTCTTTATCACGCCTATATACTTTGATATCTGTTTGCGGTTAGAAACTACGCGTTCATGGAAGACTTGTAAGTGCTTTTAACATTCATGTCTCTGTTTGGCTTCTATAGCACCGTCTGAGTTTCGAATTAAAACAGCAACATTTTTTTCTATAAATTCTTCTGAACCTTTCGGCTTCATATTTAAAGCTAGTAACTCGCTTTATCTTATTAGCGAAGGGCTCTTGAAACATTTTTTAACACTTGAATGGTTTAAAATAAGCTTACAACACGAGATTAATATAAAACATTTGTGGACATTTTGTAAAATAAGAGAAAGAGCGTAGGGTTCATACAGAAACCGATAATAGCTTACTAAAATTTATTTTACCAAAAGAATCACTTCACAGTTATGGAACTTTCCACAAAAATAATCGTACAGTTCTTCACAGTAATAACAAGTACAATCAGTAGTTGCACTTCAAACTACTAAAAAAGTTAAACACAATACAATGCAAAGCGCATCTAAAAGGGGGATATCTCACGGATGTTCTTATTTTTCCATCAAAGCATATCCTATTTAGATTTTCACGTTACATCAGACACGCACAGCAAAAAATACAATTTCATATACAATACACTAAGACTACTTATATGCTCAGATTCGTAACACTATGTATAAAATTCGTAGCAGTATATTACAAATTCTTTCCAATAAGAATTTATTCTAAATAAAAGCTTAAGGACGTAAAATTTTAATTTAATTACGTCTATGAAAAGAATTAAGAAAAGGTAAGATAACTTATAGATATGATAAAGGTGCACCACTATTAATGTTTCAGCGTACGCAGCTAAACCTTTCCTTCATTTCTGCCATAGGGAAAATTACTATATTATTTCTATGATAAACTGATTAAGAATATTTTTAGCAATATATGTGACTACATGGTGAAACAGTCTCAAAATTTAAATTTTAATAAAAGTGTTCAAAAGTCAAAATTTATAGGTTAAAGTGATAGATAAAAAAAATGAAATACACAAAAGTTTTAGAAGCAGAAGAAAACATTATTTATCTAACACTTATATGTAAAAATATGAAACTACTATTATACCACGGAAATTTTATGGTAAGTTTGTAGGATACTTTAAAGTTTCTACTCAGACTGACAAGCGACTAATTGCTCCGTCTGTGAAAGTATAACAGTGTCCTAATAAAGTTTTAAATAACCTTTTCATTAAAGTTTAAGCTTAATAAAATGCACAACTTGTGCGTACAAATGAAATTACCGCCACTTTCGGGCAGTATATAATAGAAACTGGAATTCACAAATTTAAATGGATTAATAGTTTACAATATAAATGGCCTAACTAAGAGCTGGTTAAAAATTCAAACTGCGAGATTTAACTTCTAGCAAAATGGCTAGTACTCAATTACAAAGCTGGGCAAGAGAAAGTACAACTGTGACCATCAGTGCCAAAAGACATTTGTCTGAAAGTTCCAAAGCCTGAGAGCTAACAAAAAGGAGTAATTATAGTACAGATAACCAATCATAATAAAATGGGTTAATTAGCTTAAACTCTATAAGTTTATGGTCTAGGGTAAATATTATAGAGCTACAGTATCAAAGTCATTACGAGTTTCTCTCATTCTGTTTCACAAACATTTCTCATTTATGAAGATAACCACAGTAAACAATAAACACATGTACAGGTGAAAGTGGGCAGGACACCAGAATTTCACCACTAGTCGTACACGTACAGTACCGCCGCACTACTTCAGTAGTTTCGCCCCAGTTCTGAAAGAACGTCTACCACGTCTCTTTCCCTACCATAATCCTCTCGAAAGAAGTTTCGTCTTGCCCTGTATTTTGAGTGTTTCTTTATCGCACATGCACTATACGCTTACAAACATTCATGCATTTTCCGGGAGTCAAGCCTGGGCCCATCGGTACGGCAGCCAGCGTCACTAAGAACTATACCGGCTGGGCGGCTAAACAGTAAGCACAGCAATTCTGTCTCTGAAAATAAAGTAGGCACTTAAAAATACAAAAAACTACTTACCTAGACTCATAAGTAGATGTTTTGTACAGTGCATCCGAAACGTTTTACGCTTACGTTCCTATGAAATATTGACGAAAACATAATTCTTGCTGCCTTAACCTTCAACCTACAATCTTCGAAAGTTTATACAACACATGGCATGATCATATAACGGGCCTTGATTTCATCCTATAATTCATCACTTGGAATACTTTCTAAGGTATTTTTTTCTCTCCTTACAGCACGGTTTCGTGGTATAACGGTAGAACACTCGGCGCATTCTAGGTTCGATTTGCGGCGAGGGCATTGCTTCAAGAAAACCTAATAAATAATCGACAAGTAACGCCCGAACTAAAAACAGTGATGGACGATAATTCACCCCCACCAGGATTTGGCGAGTGGTTCCCCTAATCCCCATTCTCCCTTTAAAGGGGGAAGTATATAAGGTATTTTCTCCCTCGTTTCACCAGGCCTTCGTGGTGTAATGGTAACACACTCAGCGCGTATTCGACAAGTCCAGTTTAGAGTTCCGGCGAGGGCATTGCACATTTTTCACATCTCCTGCTTCAAAAAAAACTTATGATTCTGCAACTGTTTAAATCTCTGGTTAGGTTTTCTGAATTTCTTCAGTATTACTAAAATAACTGAATGAAGACTTCGCTTCAGAGAGCACAAAATAGTGTGCAAGTGAAACGTTTAGTGAATAAGGGGGTTTGTCCAGAATTGTAACACTTTTCTTTGCTGGAAACTGCTTGACAATAATTCGATCGGATGACAGCGCACTGTCGTGCAGCAGTATGCGATTGAGTTTTCTCAAGCCTAACATGCTGAATTCTCCTCAGAAATCTATTTATTACATCTTTATAAAATATTCAGTTTTCTTTCTATCTCTCAAGAATACAACGTGTTGTAAATTATCTTATTCGAACCATAAAAGGAATTATCCTGTTCAAAATCAAGGAACCGATGAAGTCTTTACACGAGATTCATGAAACCGAAGTTTCTATAGTCATGGTGAATCCTTACATGCCAAGAACGGAACTGTCATTTTGTCTCAGTATCATAAACCGAGTCCTAAGTTTTAACTGCAGTCACAACGATTTTCTTTTGAGAAAAAATAAGCATAAATCTACAACGTCATAGCAGACTCATTTTCTATTCTTCGTTCAGTTTTCAAAAGCTGCGTCAACGCAGATCTCAGGCTCAGCTGCGCGCATGCTCTCTAGATAAAAGGATCCAATTAAAAAATGTAAAAAATTCTTCCTCTAAACAGATGCTATTTTAGAAAAAAATTATTTGAGATGTCATAGCGTTGCAAATGACAGGTTTGCTCAAATGTTTTTGATAAATTACTCCTAAAACTTTGTAAACGCACTGTGTATTAAACACCCAGAGAGTGTGTGCTATCTGACTGTCGACTGAGGGCTCATGATATTTACTTAAATAATAAATATTTCAGGAAACTATTATGTTTTCCTCCAGTGAAACACAAATATATATCGACAAAGGAGTATAAATATATCGAAAAAAGGGTTGAGTTAGATAATTTTCACTTGCCACGCAGCTTTAAAAATAGTAAATGTGGCTGAGTGAATTTTTTCTAACAACGAATATCTGGTTATGTTACTTCGGAGATCAGATTGCATAGAGTTTCAAAACAGAAGATGCCTAGAACTTTGAGAAATTTCCTGATAGTACGAGGTTATAAATACCCAAAGGACTGGTAATAGGAAATGCAAAATTTAAATAAATTTCGAAGCACAGCTATAGCTTGTAGATTCTGGCAAAAATTATAAACAAATAATGGGGGGATTTCAAGAATTTACATTTTATTGCATAAGCTATTTTCACTTAAATTCCGTTTCTGAGAATAGCACTGCCAATGAGCATTTCAAAGAATTCTAGAAAAAGAAAGAAGAAGGAAGAAAGAGGAAGTCTTTCTTGAATGCATGTTCCGTAATTTGTTTAAAAAAGGAATAAATTAGGTTAAACAAAGTAATAAGGAGAAACCACTCATAAATAATACTGCGTGTGACAGCAGTCGTCTATTATACACTGTCCTCCAAAATTTAAGGAGCAGCATGTTTTTCAAAGCTCACCATTACAAAAATGTAAGTGACGTTTAAATTCACAGTTCATATGTATGACAGTGAAGAAGTTTAAGAAAATATATGTAAAAACAATAGCTAACACTTTTATTTTATGGATATGAATATAGAAGTTGGAGTACAAATGCAAAATTTGGAATTTTTGTTCACGAGTATTGATCTTCAGATGTTATTACAGTTTCGAGGACAATATCCAGGAGAGTCTATAAATGTCCAGGAGAAGTCGTTTTCCCGATTCGTTAAGGTGGCGCACGATCGGCATGGCAGATCATTTAGCGGCAACAAGAATAAGAATCTCAGCTACTACAGTGAGCAGACGCATGCACAATACAGGTCTGTATGCAAGACGACCAGTTGTTGTGTCCCCTTGACCCTAGAACACAGAGGTGTCCGTTAGTGTTGAGCAAGAGAACACGTGTCCTGGACCAGTTAACAGTAGGCATTTGTTCTCATCATAGACGAGTCCAGGTTCACACTGGAGAGTGATCTAGATCGTCATCTGATCTAGCACCAGGTACAACAGATCCCAAATTGTGGAAAGACAGTTCAGAGGTGGTGGAATAATAGTTTGGGCTTGGATTTCTTTTGGTGGTCACACGGTGTTCCATGGTGGAACTTTGATCGGTGTGAGATATCGAGGCGAGATCCTTGATCAATATGTCCTCCATATGCCGCTGCTATTGGCCCTGGATTTCTTCTGCCGGACTACAATGCGCGACCGCACCGAGCTCGGGTTGCTGAAGAATATATTGAGGGTCACGGTATATGGAGCGGATGGAATAAGCAGCACAATACCCTGATCTGAATCCGATAGAGCATCTTTGAGACTACCTTGGGAGACAGTTTGTTGCTTTAA